GTGCCCTCTGGCTCCCTTTCCTTCTGGTCCCTCTCCTCACCCGAACAGAGGACAGTTGGGGTACATCAGAGATGCACTAGCTTCTGCTTGTCTGCAGGCAGGGGATGGGGATTTTTTTCCCCGCGCTTTGATCTGTGGTATGGCAGCATAATCTCCTGCAGCTGTGGAGCCCAGGCCAGTTCAATATGCACACAGAAATCTTGAAAATGGATTGGGAATTGTTAGCAGACTGAGAGAAATCCAGTGAATGTGAAACTCCAGCAGATGTGGGGGTCCGAATTTCCTCCTTTCCTCCTTTCCTCCTCCTGTCCTCCAGTGCTCACTTGGACCCAGATACTGTTTCTCAAACTAAGTTTACATCTTCAAGAGCACAGGAGTTGACTTCCAAAAATGTCAGCAGAAGCAAAAATAATTAGGGGAGAGTGTGTAAAAACAGTGTCCATCCGAGCATGGAGCAGTAAGGTATGTCAGAGCTGGTCCTGGGTGTGTCGATACCCGGGGATCCACAACTCTTCACAGCAGGATTATTTAGCGAGCCACTGTGGCTCATTCTCCTTTCATGGTCTCCTCAGCAGAGACGAAGCTACAGAGCACATAGATTTTCAGGCACTAAATGCTCTTGTTTCTTGGTTAAAACTTCATTTGAAAACTGGAAAGCTCACATTCCGGTGTGGGAGTGGAAGTGGACTTGAAGACAGCAGCAGGGAAAAGAAGACTTCAAACGCCCCCTAAATATGAGGGTGGGAGTTTTCTATGCTGAAAAACAGATTTGATATTAAGAGCTTTAAGTGACTTTCCTGTTTGAAAGCTTTATAGTAAACAAAATGTGATTAACTCCCTTAGTGACTCATTGCAGGAAAGATTTTGATTTTCAGTGTGGTGCCTTTCTATCATATACTTGTTTTAATTATCCCTGCTGAATAATAGAGCTTGATAACAGCTTGGGCAAGGTAGGAGGGAAGGTCATCAAGATAGCTGTCCTTTTTTAATATTCCAGCATTCTTGCACAGAGCCTTTCTTCGTGTCTGTCCTGCCACTGACAGGGCTGCCGGCTGCGGCACATCCTGTGAGATGCTATCAATGTATCCTGTAATTTTAGAAAAGGTTCGAGGGGCAGAGCGAGCTGTGGATGCTTCGGGAGGGGGAGATGAAGCCGTGACTGTTGACAGCGAGTCTGTCTTGTCCCTGCCTCCCCTGCTCCAGCCCTCGCAGAGTGATGGAGAAGAGAGTGACGGGAGCTGCTGAATAACTCACTGGCGAGTAAAACTGCAGAGCAGCCACCGGTACCCATCGCTCTGCTTTCCCATCCCACGAGTCTTGTACGCTCTCCCTTTGCACCCGTCGTGCTTTTATCTGTGCCTTTCGGACCAGCTCTGCTTGGGTTTTTTTTTTTTGGTGGTGTTGTTGGTGAGGGGGGTGTCCCTTTCTTGATGCTGAGGTGGAGACCTCCCAAGGCCAGGGTCTCTCTAGGTCTGACCCACCTCAGCCACGCATGGGGCCACCCCCAGCCCTTCCCACTGCAACCTGCGTGAGATCACGGCACGCCCGAGGTTTGAAGGTGCCTCTTTCCTCCGGGGGGGGGCTGCTGGGAGGGCCGGGGCTCAGGCTTCTCCGTGGCTCTCGGGGAGTTTTAGAGGTCTGAAGGCCAGCAGGGCTGTGGAGGGTACCAGCATCCCGCAGGCTGCCTGCCCTCTGGGGATGGAGCGTGCACCACGCTGCTTTGGCACCTCTCCTCGTTCCCGTGTGGTGCAGAGCCACGTCAGGCACCACAGAAACCTCTCCCTTATATTGCTATCTTCCTTATCAATCGTGTTGGTAAAAAAATGATTTCCCTTTGCCATATCTCCTTGTTCTTCCTTGCTGCTTACGATGGCAGTGATTTGATCTGTTGCACCACCTCTAGCATTTGCCTCTGTGAGGTGATGCTTTTCCTGCAGCTCAAAGTTGCTCGCTCCCCCCGCAGTGGGATGGGGGAGAGAATCAAAAGAGTAAACGTGAGAAAACTCGTGGATCGAGATAAAGTCAGCTTAATAGGTAAAGCAAATCAAGGAATTCGTTCCCCCCCTTCCCCTGGGCAGGCAGGGGCTCAGCCATCCCCAGGACAGCCGGGCTCCATCACACGTAACGGTGACTTGGGGAGACAAACGCCATCGCTCCGAACGTCCCCCCCTGCCCTCTCCCCCCAGATCTGTATGCTGAGCATGTCACCATCTGGTCTGGGGTGTCCCTGGGGTCAGTTGGGGTCAGCTGTGTCCCCCCCTCTCCAACTCCTCGTGCCCCCCCAGCCACTCGCTGGTGGGGTGAGCAGCAGAAAAGGCCTTGGCTCTGTCTAATTCTGCCCAGCAATGACGAAAACATCTCTATTATCAAACCTGCTTCCAGCACAAATCCAAACCCTGGCCCCATAGTAGCTACTATGAAGAAAATTAACCCTGCCCCAGCCAAAACCAGCACAGTGGCGTTTTCTTTGTTGACCACAGGACAGTATTAGGTACAAATGGCCCTGCCACGGGGGGACTTTCATCCTGCTCCGTGAGATGTGCCATGAGGCATTTGGGGCTTTACTACCTGAACTCTACCAGGTTCTCCAGGTTTATTCTTGGCTAAAAATTACAGGGTGTAAATTGCCTGGATTCACAGATTTTGAAAATGTATAGTAGTTTCTTTTACTGTCCTCTTCAGTTAGCATTGTCGTGAAAAAGATTTCATTTTTTTTATGACAAGTAAAAATAATTTGGAACAGCAGATGGGTGAAATCTGCTTGAACTCAGCAATGTGCCCGATAACAGGTATCATTTAAGGCTGTAAACAGCCCTATTGAAGGCTACTGGGTTCACCTGTGTTCGCAAAGACATACGTGTCTAAATATCATCTGGTATAAGGCTCAGACCAAGAAAGGTGCCTATTTCTTACTACTTTACCTGCCAAATAAGCTTGTAACTATTTTTGTAGATCTTTGTTTGCTTAAGAAAGTCTATGTTGGGTTAAGCCCAAGGTCCAACTAGCTTCTTATATTGTCTCTAATAGGAGCCATTAACAGATGCCTGGGGAGGAATATAAAGCATAAAGTGATCTTCTGGGGCAGCTCCTCAGAGCTCCTGGCAGTCAAGTGCTTTAGGGACTTTCCAGGCAGGAGGTGGTGTTCAGAAGTCCTCTGGGAATGTGTCTAATTCCTTTTAAACACATTTGTACTTTTGGCTCCCATAAAGCAATTGATTTGCTGCGTGGAAAAGTACGTCTTTCATTCGTTTGTAAACCAGTTCTTCTATCCCTCCACCAGTTTGTGTGTACGTCTTGTATCAGGAGAAAGGGTCGGTAACCGTCCCCGGTTGACCCTATCAGTCAGGAGTTACTGGACTCTGCTCTGTCCTCTCTTCTGCACTCAACAGCGTCGGGGCTGTATATGGGCTCTCAGACATCATACAGCCCATATACAGCCCTGGGAACTGGATATTTCGGGATATTTACTGGTGAGGTCTGGACAGTTTCGGGGAGTCTTTAGCTGGAATTTGGAATTGTTCTTGAGCCCCAAACCTGCTAAACTTAGCTTAATGCTGCAAGCAATGATTTTTTTTTTTCTTTTTTTAATTTTTTTTTTTTTTTTTCCCCAGCAATTTGGATGAAACCAATAGGTCAGGTTGTGCTGTAGTGCTGGAATCTCCCCCTCCTCTGAGCTCTCACATTTAAGGTCTGAAAGATCACTGGTCTCTTTTTGAAACCCTTCCCTACTACTGCAAATGTAAAGAAGCTCCAGGATGCTCCTGTCGTAGCCACCAGTAGGTCCTTACAGAAACTCCCCATCTTTTTTTCTGCTAAGAAAGGCAGGAACATTATAATTAGGGGCAATGTCAGAGGTAGGCAAATACTCCCTAATTGTATGCAGATGATAGAGCTGGTTCAACCTTTTGACTAGTGAAGCTTTCCTCAATTTGGGATATTGTGATCCTAATCAGGGACCTTTTGCCATACATCAAAGGGGTCGGGCTGAACCCGCATACCTTCGGGCTGGCACGGCTTGATTGCGAGGCTTCCTGCTAGCAGGCTCATCCCTGGCCAGGTGTCTTTCCTGCTGTGGACGACTGATTCCTTTCTGCTCTTCATCACTGAGGCAAAGAAATTTAATCCCAATATTACTGCCAGCCCTGGAATGGACCCACTGATTTGGAAATTTCACCCTCTTGTTGCCCTGAAATATCAATGCACAGCAACCTCTGATACCTGCTTATTTCATTGCCAACCCCTAACCTAAGGTGGAGCAGACCTGTCATTAGCGCATTCATCTGTGTTTAGATCTGTCAGCTTCCTTCCCCTTCTCCTCTTTTGTTTCTCTAATTACTTTGATTGCATCTCTGTATCCAGCTCAGGGCCGGTGAGGCTGCAGGGTCCCCATCCCACTCTGTGTCACTATTTCCTTTTCTATAGGCAGCAGAGGTTGGCTTTGCAAGAGGGAGGCAGTTGGGTCTGGATTTTAAAATTGCAAATGCAGCTGTATTTAGGTCTGCAGGTAGCTTTTCGGTCTGTTATACAGAAATGTCCCAGCAGCAGACTCAGATTTTCAGGCTTCCCCTATGGCTTCTGGATGCTCTGCCTCCTACCCAGTGATGCTGGAAGCTGGTGCTGGGAGCACTGGGCTGCTCACAGCCACTCTGCAGAGACTCGGCTGTGGGTGAAGCATCTTCCAGCACCCTTTAAGTGACAGAGCATATTCCACAAAGATTTTGTATCAAATTTTCAGTAAGCATACAGTGGAAAGAGTCGTGTTGGAGCTCTTGTTGTGTTATGTTCCCTGGGGGATGACGGCTGGGCCTGGGGTGCAGATGTGCTGTGGGTCTCTGGGGGGTCGGTCCAGCCTCTGCACTTCCCTGCTGTTACAGGCTCTCCTTGTAGCTTAACCAGAGTGTTTGGCATCTTGAGATAATACCCTGATGAATGAGATAAAGTAAAATAAAGTATTTATGACGGTAATTTTTGTCTCTCTTTTTTTTTTTTTCTTCTGCCAGGGGCTGATTAAAATTCGAGGAGATCGCTGCTGGAGAGAGTTAACTTGCATGGATTATCACTACGAGGTGAGCAATCTGCACATTAAAACTGATTTCTCTTATCTGCTTTACTTTGGTAGAAAAAATTTCTCTAACCTTTTTTCTTCTGCTGGGCAGCTCTCCGTGTTTTCCTTCTTTATCGTAGTCTTCTGTCTGTGGCAACACAGTCCATGTCCATGTGCCAGCTTGGTGATGCTATTTTTCCCAACCGAAGTCCTAAAAGACTAATTTCTCCCCTTCCCTCACTATCATGGACTGATTCAGGAGCAAACCTGAGCCTCGCTTGAGAACTCCCTCTGTAAAAAATGCTGCAGGAGAGGAACAGAAGGGAGTTTTCCGTAGCATTGTGCTGAATGCTTTCTGCTTACGCTTCCAAAATGCGCGCGTACGTAGACAGAAATAGAGCATCTCGTTGCTCTCCAAGATGCAGGGCACTAATCGTTAGCAATTCGGAATTACACGGTTTTATCTTTTTGACATCTGTTTCAGTGATTGCATCGCATTCTGATTATAAGCTGCGGTCTGTGTTCTGGCTCTGAGTGTTGTCTCCTCTTTGATTACAGCGAGAGGAGCTCAGCTTCCCCTCTCTTTTTTACCTATATTTTTGCCATTGCATTTTGTATAAACAGTGTTAAAAAGAAATCGCTGCGTACAGCGATGTTCCGCTGGGCGAGTAGCCCTGCTTTAATGGAGGAAAAGTCACCGAAGCAATATTCCCTTCTCTGGATTCACATCGCAGGGGCATGGAGGTGGCACACTGCACAGTAACACCCCCGCTCTATAATCCACGGCCATCTAACGATGCGACCGCGCCGCATCTTTGCGCACGAGGCTGCACAGTCCCAGCCTGGGGCGGTTCTCGGTGCCGCTCTCGCCCCCGTTGTTGGTGAGACCTGGGCACCTCCTCGTGCCTCAGCCACACAGTTATCGTCAGCCCCCCCGGGGATGTACCTTCGGGGTGACGTTCTCAGCGGACCTTCCTCACGTCTGGAAACCATTTCCCCCCCTTCCAATTAAACCTGGCAGAGCCTGACTTCTCTGACCTGCGGAACGTGTTCCAAGGTGTTGCCTATGAATTACTTTTTACGGGGTAGGCACGCTGAGCCGTGGAAATGGGGACGCTCGTTCAGGACCGCTGTCTTTCCACCCTTGTGTGAAGGGAATTGCATGCGACTGCCAGGGACCACATTACCAGTCCTGTTACAGGACTGGGATTCCTCTCCCCAAAATAGGGGGAAAAAAAAAAAAATAAATAAACCTATCCATTTCCCAGGCGCTGACGCCTTTATTTTTCACTCCTGGGACTGAGTTAACTGGTTGCACGTTTGAAAATGGAATTTTGCAGGTCCAGAAGGCTGTACCTGCCTTTTCAGCTGTAATGCTCCTTTTTTTTTTTTATCGTTATCATCTACTTTCAAAGGGGTTTCACCCGCTGACTGCAAGGCTGAGCTTTTACAACGGCTGCCGCTCGGTTAGCTCTCGTTGGACCATCGGTGTCCTGCTTCGGTCTGAGCAAAACTTTGGATGCAAAGACGCTCCAGCGCTGTCGTCCTTAATCCCGAACACAAAGGCGGCTGCAGTAAATCGTCCTTCATTTTTGCCTGACAGCGCGAGGGCTCTGCTCCACGTGCTGCCAGGCACCTGGCAGCAGTCTGAGAAAAGCCAGCTCAAAGCGAGCCCCCCAGAATCCCCCCGGCCGGCTCCGCCGGTGACCCCAGCCCACAACAGTCAGCCTGCGTAATCCCAAATATTTCAAATCAAAACCAGAATCAGTTCTGTAGCCCAGAAGGCTAATTAAGACCATTCCTGTCATATCCATAGCGCAGGATCCCCAGCCTGTGCGAGTAATTGGGAACAGGGGCAGGGGGCAGATCACATTATCAATATCAATTATTTTAATCCGCACAAAAGAAGCTGCAATAAAGGGAAAATGAAAGAGGCCGAACTTTGTCTACCAGCGATAACAGACAAAGGACTGCAATTCACCTGCTGATTTCGACCAGCCAGAGGGAGGAAGAGAAGGGTGAAGCCGAAGATACCTCTGCGAGGGAGGGAGCTGCGAATCTGCTCGTAATTAGGATGATAAAACTGGGTATTGGACCAGCTTGTAAGTGGACCTGGGCCAAGTGTAGTCTGCTGTGATGTATGTTGGCCACCCCAGCTCTCCTGTTCCAGTCCTGAACTGCAGTCCAAAATCTACATGGGTCTCTCTGCCAAGAGAATTAATGAAAACACATGGCCTCCATCTCTCGCGTGGTGAGCGCACCCTGGACTATTTATTTGTAGTAGAACCAGCAGCTACGCTCGTGGAAAATAACATTTCCACTTTTGTCATGAATCGTGTAGAAAATAGTAAAACGTTGTTAAGGCTTGGGTAATTAAACTGAGCGTATTTTTCCTCCCTCTTTCCTTTCTAATGTGCAGGGCCTTAATCCCAGCTTTTATGGAGATCTGTTCCTCAACTGAAGACTCTCTGTTTAGCGGGCTTACGATCTGTGACGCTGTGTAGTTTGGAGAGGGAAATGGCAGAACGCATGGTTTACATAGGAAAGGTATTTTCCTACCAGCCTGACTCTCCTCTGATCCCTGAGGAGTAGATGGGCTCCAGTAAGTGTGAAAGAGAACGGCAGACACTGATGGAGATGAGAGGACTTTGCTACACCACCATACCCAGCCTGGCACCTGGAAACTACCTGGAGGCTGGAATGAGGTGTGGGGGTAGAAACGCTCAGCGGATTAATCATGGCTCTGGGTGCCAGGAGTCCCAAACTAATCCCATCTTGGCAAGACACCGTGAACAGGGATTTAACCTCCTTCTGCATGAATTTCTTTGCTAACGTGGCCAGGAGCTCTGAGGTAGGTGCATACCTTTGCACCCTGGTGTGCATCAGGCCGGGGCTCCTGATGCCCGTGATGCCCCGGAGCTTCACGTGCAGCAGTGCCCACGTTAATGTGTTGAAAATGGGCTTTATTTACCATATGTTGGGTTTGCTGCCATTTCACTGCTGGCTGCGGTTACATGGCTTTTTTTCCCCTCTAAGAAATCCCAGTAAAAGGGAGGCTTTTGCTCAGTGGAACCTGTTCTTCATGGCAGCTACTGCGGAGGGAAGCCACTTCTGGGTTTTAGGTCTGTTTGTCATCACGATTATTAAGCATTTATCTACTGTGTACACAATGGTTTACAAATATGCGTGCGGCGGTTTTGCAGGCTGGAGCTGGATTTCCGCTTCCACTGGAGCCCGTGGCACCGATCCCACCATGGCGCTCGGCGGCATCGCGCCCGGAGCAGCCTCGGTTCCCCTGCTTGTGTGAGCCGGGGGGGGGGACACACACACCCCCCCCGTGGCCCAGCGTGTCCCCCTGCTCCAGAGGTTGGCCTTCACCCCCAGCAGAGTGCGAAACCTCCCTCCTAGAGCCAGGCTCCCAGATGCACCGGAGGGGGGGGGGGGGGAAAAAATCTGCTACAGAAGGTTTTGTGCCACTCGAGGCCGTTTCTGGAGCTTGCACAGCTTGCAGGATATCACCCAGGCACGGGCTGGAGCAGCTTTCTAACCACGGTTAGTAGGTACCAGGTCTTTGAGCCAGGCGTGGGGTGGGGGAGCAGCAACTTGCTCCCCAGGGGCCTCTTACCACTCCCGCCCTGTGCCAAGCTTTATCTGGCCCGAGCTTTGCTAATTCTGGGTGTGCTGCTTAGCTGGCACAAGCACAATGTCTTAACATGCTCCAAATGGAGAAAATCCTCTTGTGCAAGACCCGTATTTTTAAAATCTCCCCACCAAACGTGCAGCTCTCTGACCCTCACGCTTACACCGCGGAGCACCTTGCGACCATATGTCTTGGCACGGGCCAGGTTTGAGTGGCACAGGCAAGAGAGGAGCATTTCTGACCCGCAACCAGTCCAAATGGAGCCCGTGTTTTGGGATGCTGGTGGTGGTCTTGGCAGAGCAGTTAAGCAGATCATCTTAGGGGTTCAGGAACGGGAAAGTCCTCCATGGTCGCATCTATTGCGTCTCCCATATTCCACTGCAGAAGTACTCCCTGGGGGATGCAATCCAGTGATGCGTTTTTGTAATGGCTGCCAAAGTATTGTTGCTTTTTAATTACAGACAGATATCTTGTAAAATTCAGCCACCAACTGGTAGAACAGCTGCCGGAGCAGCTGCTCGGGCAGGCGGGTGCGTGGAGGGGAGCCCCACTACGTCCCCTCCTCCTCCTCCGCCGGGTTTGCACCGACACCGCGCGGGAGCCCTGGAACTCAACTGGGGGGGTCCCTGGTGTCCCCCCACATCTGGCCTGGCCTTGGCTGGGCCAGTCCTGGCAAAGCTCAGCAGAGGTGTGAGCGGTGGCATGCACCAGGCAAGGAACCGGTGGTCCTTCCACTCACTACTGGAACAGCTCGTATTTTATATTCTTAATTTTAAGATAATTTTATTTATGTGATGCTTTGAAGGGAATGCCTTTTGTCCCAGAGTTTCTCAATGATTTGCATCCTTTGCTGCAGAAACGGCTAGGAAGGCAAACTTAATACTGAGACAAGGAGGAGGCAGAGGGATCAAGGGAAAGTAAAACAAAAACCCGCTCCCAAAGCAACAAAATCTTTGTCGGCATTGGAGGTAAGACCCAGGATTTGCTTCCCTGCTGTAGAGTGATCTGTGGGTGCTCAGGATGGGTCGGTTGCCACGGAGCAGGAAAGCTTGAAGGACTTTGCTGAACCAGCCTCTACTTAATAACTAAGTCACATCTGAGTTTTGAATTTGTCAGTGCTGCTGAGAAAAGCTTTGTTCTTTTACGTAGAGACGCTGCACAGCCACAAAGGTCACCTCTTCTGATTTGTACAAATTGTCGCTAATTATTCTGTAACTGTTTTTCTTAAATAGAGGCTGTCAATCAGTGCTCCAGCTCCTGGCATACAGCAGCTCTCCAGTTCCTGGAGAAGCTCTCCAGTGCACAATGTCTTTTGTACCTAATTACAGGCTTGCTGACTGATAGCTGTGCTGATAAGGATGAGAAGGAAGCGCTAACTGCTC